CCTCGACCTGCTGGCCACACTCCTCTTGATGCACCCCAGGATGCCACTGGCCTTCTTGGCAGCCAGGGCACACTGCTGGCTCATGGTCAACCTGTTGTCCACCAGCACTCCCAGTCCCTCTCCACAGAGCTACTCTCCAGCAGGTCAGCCCCAGCCTGTACTGGTGCATGGGGTTGTTCCTCCCCAGGTGCAGGACCCTGCACTTGCCCTTGTTGAACTCCATCACGTTCCTGTCTGCCCAACTCTCCAGCCTGTCCAGGTCTCACTGGAGGGCAGCACAGCCTGCTGGTGTATCCACCCCTCCTTCCAGCTTTGTGTCATCAGCAAACTTGCTGAGGGTGCACTCATATGACCCATAGAAAGAAACAAGCAGGCTTTCAGGATGAAGCTTTTCGCTACAGGTAGGGACCCACCTGCCATCGCAGCACCAGGCTGCGGCAGGCTGAACGGATGCTTCCGCGCCCAATGCCCTTTCTCCCCATTTACAGATGCTCAGAATGCTACGATCCCACGTCTGCAAAAATTCTTGCAAGCTGCTCGATACTCCCGGGACCAACCGGCCGCCCAGCAGCAGCCTTTGGCTGGCGAACCAACCCCCAGGTGCTCCCCTCCGTGTTGACAGAGCACTCCAACCTTTGCCCTTCCCGATCCCTTCTGTGTTTGCAGACAAGGCCAACCTTCCCTTGCTCGGGCTCCAACACAGAATCACAGAACCACATGTTGGTTGGGGTTGGAAGGGCCCTCTGTGGGTCACCCAGCCCAACCCCCTGCCCAAGCAGGGTCACCCACAGCAGGCTGCACAGGACCTTGTCTAGGCGGGTCTGGAATATCTCCAGAGAAGGAGACTCCACAGCCTCCCTGAGCAGCCTGGGCCAGGGCTCCGTCACCCTCAGAGGGAAGAAGTTCTTCCTCCTGTTCAGCTGGAACTTCCTCTGCTTCAGTTTGTAAACACGCCTCCCCCACTGCGGAATTGGCCCTCATCTTGACCAAGCGCGGGATCTCGACCGGACAAAGATGCTGAGGATGTCTGGGAGGCCAGTACCAGACATTGGTCCAGGGTGGGATGAAGGGTGGAAGCTCAGGCGGCCCATGAATGTGCCTCGTCACTCCCAGAAGGTCGATAATAAGAGCTGTGGGCAAAGACCAAAATTTAGGGTGGGGGATGAAGGTGGGTCCCACCATCCCTCCTGGGAAAAGCGCCAGCTCCGGCTGACACAGAGCGTCCAACGCCATCGCAGCATCAAGCACCCACTGCTCTGGATGCAGGCTCCTCCCGGGGCAAGGACCTCTGCAGGCAGGCAGAGCATTTAAGGCAAGTGGAAATCTGTTAGAAATTTGGGATTTGAACCATAAACCGCCTCGTGAGCCAGAGGTTTGGCTGCTGTGAAGCCTCACGCAAAGCCGGGTGCAGTTGTCTCAGGCCAGGCATGGGTTTGAGGCACCTCTGCTCATCCTCTTGCTGACCTGAAAAAGCTGCTCCTTGACTTTGAATCCCTCGAAATCTCTCCTTCGGGGCACATTAAGGTCAAAAATATGATTTAAAGAACGTCACTGAACTCCAGCGTGACTGAGAGCCCCACAGCTCACCAAAGGAGTTACGATGCCATCTATTTCTTCCCTTCCGCTGTCGGACGGCTTTGAAGATGCCCCACTGCCACCGTTCCCACCTGGAAAGCATAACTTTAACGCCCTGCCCTAGGCCAAGCCTGGCAGATCCCACCGGCGCCGGAGCAAGGGCACCGTGGTTCGGCTCCCACCGATGCCGGGTCTGTGCCCGCCCTGGCTCCCAACGCAGCTCCTGCTGCCTCCCAAACCAAGCGCGGGGTCAGCAGAGCCACCGCAGACCACCCAGCGCGGGCAGCGAAGGGCAGCAACAGTCACAGCAAAGCGTATCGAAGACAGAGACAAACGGACAGCTCGTTTTATAGCCAGAAACAGACACGTCACGACACACCAGTTCATTTTCCAGCTCGTTACAGGGACAGAAGGGCCACAAAGACCACGAGACCTTCGATCGCGTTGGCCAAACACGGATTAAACACAGGGCTGGGGGGGCATGCGGGATCCTGAGCCTATGTACAAAGGTCCCACCGCGGCTTGCGGGAGCGCAGCCTCCGTGGAAACTGAGATTCCACAGCACAGATTTGCCTGGGCGCAAGGCACAAAGTCCCGTGCTCGCCCGGGGAGCGAGGGGTGACGCCCACGGCACACGTCCCTCCTAAAGGCAGGCGAACACAGTGAAAATCCGGTGAAGGAAGGGTCTGCACACAGGATAAACGCCAGCTGTGCTTCTTGCTGGGTTATTATTCCCAGGAAAAAGCACCCCGGTCCCAGCCGGCACGTTCTGGAGATGACGAATTTCTACGCAAGGCTGAGCTCTGCCTTCA